ACCTCCTGTGATACCATGCTGAGGCTGCACCATTGTCTGTACAACCTTTCTCCCACTTCTGGTTGGAGCAGGTTCCAGGATTAGGGAGACACCAGGAGTCCTATATAGTTAGATTGTTGTTGGTGCTGATCTTTCCAGAATCTGTTGGCCGTTAGGTCTGAGGGTTACACAGACCTATTTTGACCTATACGATGCCGAAGTTGGTATTATTTTCCTCTGGGACCAGTGCAATCCATGTGAGTCAGTGAGTTCTTGCCAATGTTTCCCTGCAATCTTAAAGCATTTGCCACACTTAAAAAATGGCACCTGATGTGCTGGCTGTCAAATCTAAGGGGTACCTGGACTGGTCTTTGGTGTAACCTGTAGGATGCCACATTGTAGTTTGCTGAGCCAGAAATGAGTTCTTTCCCAATGCAGGACATGCTCAGTCCTGTACCATAACCTTTGTCTCTCTAGACAAAATGGTGCCCGATTCTGCTCTGGAGGATGGACTGGGTTGTGAAATCTACCCTGTTCCAGCACTGCCTGTTTGGGACCTGCTGCTCTGTGTCTGCTCCTGGTCAAATCAAACAGACCAGCAGAATGGGCAGTTCTTTGTCTGGGTTCACCTCCTGAGCTCCTGGTAAGCATTTCTTCCCATCTTATTGCTGGTGGAGTTCAGGCTGCAGGCGCAGTTCAGATCATTGTTCCCTGAATGCCTCTGGGGTATCGGTCACTGCAACACTTTGTTGTGTCTGATGCTTTCCCACTTCTGTCTGTCTCCAGGTGGCCTTCTGCTGTCATTCTGTCCTTTCCTATTTCTTGGAATGTGCCCTCTCTGCTTCATACTGGCTAATGTTTCTCTGTCTGTTTAAACATGTCTTTATTCTGTAATTTTGATGCTCCCCCAATGTGTAATATTTTAAGTCACTAAATTATTGTGCAACAATACACTATACTACTATCTAAGTGTACCTGCAGCCTTCATTGACTAAGGCTGGCTCCCAGGCAATACCTCCTTTGCCTTCCTGGCCAGCTCCTCCAAGGCTGCTCAGAGACCCCTTCAGGCCTGAATGGGCCCGAAGTCATCTGCAGGACTCATGGGTTCAAGTTCATCAGTGAACTTCACAAATGAGCTGAGCAGCAGCATAAAACTTTCTCATAAATATTTGGACAAGCTCTTCTTATGCAGAATATTTTCAATCTACAGTTGGTTGAGTTTGAGGATGTAGAACCCACACAGATGAGCAGAGCAGTACAAGTGATAGCTTACAGGCGATAATACAAGAACATCTTTTCATCTGCAGTTTCTTCATTCTTTCCACCATTTTTGTCATAGGGAAGTTAGGTGAATGGCAAATTACTGTACCCGGGAGACCATTCCACTGTCTGCTTTTGTCTATCCAGTGTTATCAGATTTAATGTTTGCCTTTCTGTACTTAGCTTATCCAGTTGGTACCCTCTGTGTGTGTCTGTGCTGTGACAAATGACAGCTTCTCCCTAGCCCTGTCTTTTTAAAAGGCAAATAGGATCCACCGTGTATATGTGTATACTGCGTTTTCTTTATTCACTCATTCTTTGGTAGACACTGGGTTGATTCCGTATCTTGGGGATTGTGCATGATGATACAGTGAATATGGGGGCATATGTGTTTCTTCATCATACTGATTTCATTTCCTTAGTGTGTCCAGCAACTGGTAGTAAGTTTCCATTTTTAGTTTTTTGAGGAAACTGCATGCTGTTTTCCATAGTGACGTTATGAATTTACATTTGTACCAACAATGTGCAAATGTTCCAGTATCTTTGTTATTTAGGCTTTTATAGTAGCCACTCAATTAGGTGTCAAGCAATAGATCTTTGTGATTTTATTCACATTTCCCTAATGAGTGGTGATAGCAGACACATTTTGTATACTTGTTTTCCGTTTCTATGTCTTCTCTTGAGAAAGGTCATTTACCATTTGAGAAACTATTTGAAGTGAACAAATTTCATATTATTTCATAATACGGTTGATACATCACACCCTTTTGCCCCTCCTGCGTTCCCTACCTGCTCTCCTCCTTCCTTATTTCTTCTTTTACATTTTGGAAGTGATGTACTTTTGGTTCACAGTCATAGGCTTTACAATCCATTAGGTAAAGAATAGGGCCTGGCGCGGTAACCTAGTGGCTAGAATCCTCGCCTTGCACATACCAGGGTACCATATGGTCACCGATTCTAATCTGAGCAGTCACACGTCCCATCCAGCTTCCTGCTTGTGGCCTTGGGACCCTGCACCGACATGGGAGACCGGAAGAGGCTCCTGGCTTTGGGCTTTGGATCAGTGGAGCTCCGGCCATTGTGGCTGCTTGGGGAGTGAATCATCAGGTGGAAGATCTTCCACTCTGTCTTTCCATCTCTGCATACCTGATTTTCCAATAAAATAAATCTTTTTTTTTTTAAAGAAAGAATTCAACAAAGAGCAAGTAGAAAAAAAAAAACACTGTTGCTCAAGAGTGTAGACAAAGACTGTAAACAATAATCAAATCTCAAAATGTCAGTTTCATTCATGTGGATTAAATATTTTTGTACTCTGTATCACTTATCACAGATCAGGGAAAATGTATGATATTTGTGTTTTGGTGTCTGACTTATTTCACTAAGCATAATAGTTTCCAGTTGCTGCCATTTGTTGCGAAAGATAGGATTTCATCCTTTTTTATGGATGAGTAGTATTCTACAGTGTACATATCAAATTTTCTTCATTCAGTTCTTATTTGTTTTTGATTTGGTGCAAACCTATTTGTGTGTCTTTGCTTTTGTTGCCTTTCCTTTTGTAATCATATACATAAAAAAATACCATTGTATAAATCAGTCTTATAAAGCTTGTGAATTTGCAAGTTTGGATCTCACATTGAAGTTTATACTTCAAGTTGAGTTTTATGTTTCAGTTGTGCGAGATCAGGATCTGATTTCCTTTTTCTGCGTGTGAATATCTGGCTTTCCTAACGCCATTTAATGAAGATGTGTTTTTCTTTTCCCATTTTGTGTTCTTGGAAACTTTAGCAAAAACTAATTCACTGCAAATGTATAGATTTATTCTCGGGCTCTCTGTTTTGTTGCACTTGTTCGTGTGTCTCTTTTTATGCCTATATTATGCTGTTTTGATTACAATCACCTTGAAATCAGGTGGAATAGTATCTTTCGCTTATCTTTTCTCTCCAAATTGTTTTGGTTAATTGAGGTCCCATATTATTTTTAGAATTTTCTTATTTATTTTAAAGATGTCTTTGGAGTTTGATAGGCATTTCTTTGAATCTGTAGTATTCTTTCAGTTATACAATTTGGTAATATTCATTCTTTTTTTTAAAAGATTTATTTGTTTTATTGGAAAGTCAGTTATATACAGAGGAGGAGAGACAGAGAGGAAGATCTTCTCTTCTGGATTCACTCTTCAAGTGGCCACAATGGCTGGAGCTATGGCAATCTAAAGCCAAGAGCCAGGAGCTTCTTCTGGGTCTCCCACATAGGTGCAAGGTCCCAAGGCTTTGGGCCGTGCTTGACTGCTTTCCCAGGCCACAAGCAGGGAGCTGGATGGGAAGTGGTGCTGCCAGGATTAGAACCGGTGCCCATTTGGGATCCCAGCGTGTGCAAGGCGAGGACTTTAACCAGTAGACTACTGCGCTGGACCTGGCAATATTCATCCTTCAGTCCATCAGTGTGAGATAAGTTTTCTTTTATTTTTGTCTTCTCCAGTTTCTGGCGTTAGTGTTTTGTCTTCCTTTTCCTTGGTTAAATTTATTCCTATGAGCTATTGTTGTTTGGTAGCTACTGTGAATGGGATCTTTTTTTTTTTTCTTTTTTTCTTTCTCAGATAGTTTGGTGTTGGTGAATGGAAATGATACTAAATTTTATATGCTGATTTTATATTCTGTAACTTTACTCATTTGGATTAATGTCTAGATGAATAATAGGCTTCCCCAAAAGTAAGATTATCATTTTTAGTTTTTTCATTCATGTTTTAAAAAATACTGAAACTTTCTTTTTATGTCTTTTTTTTTTTAAGACACAGACGTAGTTATCCCATGCATTGTTTCACAGCCACAAAGAACTACAACAGACAGCCTGGGATGAGCCGGGCTGAAGCCAAGAGCCTATGGCTCCATTGGAGTCTCTCATGTGGGGTGGCAGCGGCCAAGTGTCCTGACCATATTCCACTGCTTTTCCAGGTCTGCTAGCTAGACTAAAAGTGGGATCGCTGGGGCACAGTGGATACAGGCGTCGCAGGCAGGGGTTTACCTCACTGCACCCCATGCTGTCCCTGACAGACTAACGCTTGGTTTCGTTGTATTTACTTCTGCTCTTGGTATGCACACACTTCCAAATGGTTGTAATTAGTTGATGTGGCCATTTCCAGTGGGCTTTTATAAATGTTTCCCAATTATTGCTTTGTTTTTTCATTGCAGTTATGTTGTCCTAGAATGATACATTTAGGAAGCTATCTGTGTTTCAGAAACACTTGCTCTTGGTTGCGGTCACATTCTTTGTTCTTCACACCTGATCGCAAATGGTTCTCCCTGGGGCCAGTTCTGAGGCGCTCTGCTTTGCTCCTTGCCCTTGCTCCCTCAGTCTCATCTCTGCTCTCAGACGGTTCATGTGCAGCCTCCCGCCAAGCTTCAAAACCGACCGTGATGAGGGATAAAGCCGGAAAAGAACACGCCAGAGAACAGATGAATGTGGTGCTTTGAAGGTGATGGCCTCTCTCCTCCCAGGTCGCTGCAGAAAGCGCTCAATAGTCATAGAAAAAAAAATAGCAAAGAAACATACGCTGCTCGTCTAATAATGATATGAGGGAAACTTTTGCTGTCTGTTGCATTTTTATGAAGTGGAAATAGAAACAAGACTGCCAGCATCATGATATTAATGCTGTTGGCACTTTTACCATATTCCATGAGATCAGCTTCTAATGTGTCAAATTAGCTTCATACCGTGAAGTGTAAACATAATGTGGTTATTCATATTTTATTCTCTTTTTTTCCTAGTGAGAAGCTGGATGGAAAAACTAAAAGACAAGGTAAGGAACTCATTTGCTTTCTTTGGATTTACTTTTAAAGTCTTACAACTTTGTCAAATAAAAGACTTCTAGAGTAGTACAGCTTTAAGTTTCTTCTTATAAAAGAGGGGTTATTTGAGTTAGTGCATGTATGCACCAGAGAGAGGGAAGAAGGGAAGGTAGGGGATATGTGTGTGTGTATATATATACATAGAGAGAGAGAGAGACAGAGAGAGGGAGAGAGAGAGGGAGGGAGAGAGAGAGGGAGGGAGAGAGAGGTCAGATCATTCGTATCTGCTGGTTGACTCGCTGAATACCTGCAATAGCTGGAGCTGGACACTGGGTCCAGGTCTGCCATGTGAGTGGTAGGGACCCTATTCCTCAAGCCATCACGCAGAATCTACATTAACCCAGAGCTGTCTACATTAACGGGAAGCTGAGCTAGGAGCCAGAACCAGTTCTAACACCCAGTTACTTTAATGTGGAATGTGGGCATTTTAACCGCTAAGCTAGAGGCCGAGCTCTAGCTTGCTCATCTTTTTCCAATCATCTATCCCAAGATGCAGGCCGCTTCCATGTGCCCATCGGGAAGGTCTGTTATAGTCCTTCTGTAGTACACGTGAGGCTGCTTATTCTTTGAAGCACCATGCTGTCATATAAAGGTGTAAGTCTGTTTAACTGAATTATGTTCTTGACATATGCAGGTGGTTTTTCCTCTAGGGAATTTCAAGAATGTAGCCATCCTAACTAACATTTCTTGTCCCCATGTGAGACTTTCTGGGTGTATAGTTTTCATGGTGCTGCTTCTTATTAACTGTTCATGAGCTGACCTGTATGAAATAGCCAGTGAGAGAAAAATGTTTTTTCCTTTCCTATTAATTGCACATATATGGTGATTGGCAGCATTAGTTTTCAGGTTTATATTTTCATTTTCTTTAGATTTCCAACTCTTTCAAGTTTTCACTTTTGGTTACTTTGTGATTTTATACTGGAATAAAAATAGTGGTGAAGCCTTGAATTCCTTGGTGTAACCTGTGTCATATCTCATTATTATAACCAAATTCAGATTTTACTAGAGTTTCAGTTAAGTGGAAAGCTTATCAGTGACAAATATTGAATTACCTCCAATTCACCAATACTTAGTATACTGTGTCGGTGGTGTCCCATCAACCTTTTTGATTTGGAGTCAATTTTTGCCAAGTAGTTATCATATGTACTTTTCTATAGTTAAATATTAATAAAACATTCCATTGTAATAATGATATAATAATGATGATATAATGCTATAATTCTCCTTGCTAATATTTTTTTGCTTCTCAGAAAAAGTTTAAGCTCATGGAATTTTTAGTGGTCCAGTGTGCAAGAGGCTGTGATTGGAGGGAATTGAAACACTTGGGGGAAGAATAGTCCAAAGATTTAAAACCCAATATAGTTATGTCGGTATGCTTACTATTTTTCAGAGGAAAATGTGATGCAGTGAAAATATAACAGGATCTGTTGTATTAATCTCAGAACCCATATGCCATTGTTTCTACAGAAAATATCCTGAGCAACTGTGAAGGGACAAATATAACCAAAGAAATTTTGCGATGCAATTTGTTTGAAAGTTAGCTATTATATAGAACATCTTACCTGTGTGTATATGCCCACCACTTCCTTTAAAAATCTGTTCAGTTCAAGGAGGGATTGCTGTGAATTTGGAAAGTCTGATGCCTGCTACCACTTCCTTTTCTTTTGGAGGAATAATTTATGTGTGACTCTTTTTTTTCCCCTGGATTTTGAGGTTTTCCTAGCATTCTCATCATCTTTTAAAACATTTTTCCCCCAACATTTCTTCTTCTTTTTTTTAATCTTTATTTTTGATGGTGTTTACGTTGTTGATCAGGGTGGGAAGGATCACGGGGGAGGGTAGGGAAAAGTGGGTGTAATCACTGTTTCTAAAGTTTCTATTTCTTCTTCCTGTGTCTGGGAGAAGGTGGGAAAATAAAAAGAGAAGCCATACCCAGCCTCCCAACTGCCTGCTATCCAGGGATGGGAACGGCCTCTTGTTAGAACCCAGGGTTCCCATGTAGCGCATGCTCTAAGAGTTCTGCTCAGGTGGTTTTGATAGTTCTGAAATGCTGTCGATTTTGCCAATCTAAGGATGAGGAATCCCTTCCAATGTCCATTGGCTAACACAGTCAACCTTAGAGTCTCCATTCACCCAGATTTTTGCTGTCATCATTTTTCTGGGGTAGTTGTGCAATGTATTTTGTTCTCCTTCCCCTGCTCTGTTGCCAGACGTCCTCTGTAGGCTCCAATGGGTTGCCATTTCCTTCAGGTGCATCTGGACCTGCCGTCCACTGCTCTGTCTTTTCCACAGATGAGGAGGTCGAGTTTTTGCAGGTGGGCTCATGGGCTCAGGGGCTCCCAAGAACCTGGGCCCTATTGGATCCTGCTCCTGGAGCTCGCCAACAATGCAGACAGGCCCAAGAATCTAGGCCAGGTGACCCAGGCCCTGCAGGACACTTCACCCCACCATTGGCTGTCCAATTGGAGGTCGCCCCCTCTGTCTCCAGGAGCATTGAATCAAAAGGACCCTCGTCAGGCCTGATTCAAGGTTGCCTCCAGTGCCATTGCTGAGCGCATGGAGACCAAGAAGCACAAGGAGCGCATGGAGTCAAGAAGACCCCACGTGTCCTCAATCCAAGGTCGCCCCCATCGCTAGTATTTCTTAAATAATTTTTTTAAATAGAAAAAAAAGTCAAGACTATAGCAAGGATTTATTTGATATCTATATCTTATTTATTTAATGTTTTAATTAACATTTATGTCTTCACCTTTTGATTCTTTCTAGGAGGGACTCATTCAGATGTTTAAATTATCTACCCTTCCTCTATATGAAAAAATGTTACAAATCCTTTCATATGTGCACATGACCAGTCACGTGTACACATGTGACTGTATCTTCTATACATATAACTGTCCATCACCTATGATCTGTATGTCTTGCTAGTCATTTTATTTGGAATCCACTGAGAGCGAGACGGTTGTCTCTTTGATGAAAGTTTTGGAATTGCTAACAAAATCACAGATTTAAGCTGGACCAAGCCACAACATGCTCTCAGCTTAACTTCATTTGACTTTTCCACTATTCATTCTCTTTTAGTCAGGCTCTAAAAAGAGTGGTCTTTTTAAAAGCCTAAGTTAACTCCTTTTGTTTTTGTTGTCTTTTTATACTAGCTTGGATTTATACCAATTGTAAGTCACGAAGAATCTCTGTTATCATTGCCTTTTGCTAAATTAGAAATTTGTCTGTCATATGTGAATCTAAAAATAGTTGTCGAGCATCAGTGGGAAGAGACACAGTGACAGGCACAAACTCAAGCTCCATCCTGGTGTCCTTCATTCCCAAGATCATCTCTTGCTCTATGTTGGCACTTCCAACTTAGCTGTGTCTATATTCTAGCCAGAAAGAAAGAGTAGGGGAAGATCAAAGGAGTCCTGCCCTTCTCAAAAGGGGTGGGTAAAGTCTCTCTCTCTGCCATTGTTTAAGGGGGCCAAAATAAAGGCTCTACTCCCCCCATTAAAATTTTACTTATTTCATTGAGAGGTACGTGTGCATTTAGCATCTCTTGTTTACCAGCAATGGTAGCTGAGCTGGGGTCAAAGTCAGAACTGGGGAACATAACCTGGGTCTCTCATGTCAGGGACAGGAATCCAGTTCTGGGAGCCACCCCCACTGACTCTTGAGATCCATTTTAGCAAGACATTGGACTCAGGAGCTGGAGCTGGGAGTCAAACCCAGGTACTTGTACAATGTGGGCATCTTAAGTACTAGGCAAAGTACCTGATGTCTTTTAAAGAGTATGTCCTAGAATTTACAGGTAACACTAATTTGTTATCTTTGTGTTGAAATTTATCACATGATTATACCCAGCTGCATGAAAGGTGAGGAATAATCTGTATTCTGTGCTGAATCCAAAACTGAAGTCCTGTTGCTACAGAAGCAGGGAATGGCAGTTGTGGTGCATCATATGGATTCAATATAGAATTACCCTTCCTTTTGGTTAAAGATCTAGGTTGGGGGTGCTTGTTGGGTGAATCTTAACTTGACTAACCTACTGATAACCTTTGAGTAGCTAAACGACTTCTCAAAACTGAAGATACTTAACTATTTAGGTGTCTAATAAAGACCAGTCTGATTATAAAAAGCCATACTGTTTTCCTTTGATTTTGGTAGGTGATATTTCTTTAAGCTCATTTGTAAGGCGAATCTGGAAGAGGCATATTCTTTGAGTTTTTCTTTACTATGGAAGAATTTTGTTTCATTTTCAAAGAGAAAGGAAAGCTTTGCTGGGTACATTATTCTGGGCCAACAATTTTTTCATTTTAGAATCTGGAATATGTCACTCCATTCTCTTCTGGCCTGTAGAGCTTCCTTTGAGAGGACAGCAGTGAGTCTGCTTGGGGACTCTTCTGTATGTTAGTTGTTTTTTTCATGTGCACATTTAAGGATCTTTTCCCTGTGTTCAACTTGATTCTCATATGTTGAGGTGAAGTTCACTTTTGGTCATCCTGTTGAAAGTTCTGTGTCTTCCTGTGTTTTGTTTCCCAATTCTTTCTCCAAATTAGGGAAGTTTTCATTTATCATTTCATTAAATACCTTTGTAAACCCAGCTTCTCTTTCTGCACCTTCTGGGACTCCCATAACTCTTACATTTGACCCTTTAATAGTGCTCTGTAATTCCTGAATACTCTTCTTAGCTTGACTCAGATTCTCCTCCGTTTTTGATTTTTTCCCCCAATTGTTGAAGGAAATGTCCTTCAATTCCAAAATCCTTTCTTCTGCCTGACTCATTCTATCATTAAGGCTTTCCATTGAATTTTCCATTTTCTCTATTGTGTCCTTCATTTCTAACAATGCAGTTTGATTTTGTTTTAGTGTTACTATTTCCTGTGTGACTTATTCCTTAAATTCCTTCAACTCCTGTATGTGCTTCTCATTGTTACTAAGAAGTCTTGTAACTAATTTTAAGCAT